AAAGTTTCGTCCGGGATGGTAGACAGGCCCTGAACCCGTTTATGTGGGTTCTAAGGGAATATTTTTGGCCGAGCCTACGGGCTCGGAGAACCCACGGTAAACTCGGCCTTTTACCACATACATCCCTCATGGGGGAGCTGTTAAATATAACAGTGATATAGACTGTTCAACTGTCGAACTCTGTGCCTCGAGTAGAGAGGAAGGCCGACGAGGCTTTGCCGTAGGACAAAGTTTCATCCGGGGAGGAGTCCCGGACCCGTTTATGCGGGTTCAACGTGAATATTTTTTGCCGAGCCTACAGGCTCGGAGAACCCACGGTAAACTCGGCCTTGTGCCACAAACATCCCTCGTGGGGTGGGGTTGTTAAATATTAACAGTGAATATATTGAACACTAGTTCATTCGATACACTCCCTCACTAGTCGTGTAATACTGTTCTTGTGTACTTACGGTTTAATATACGATATATCTGCAACCTAGTTTTTTTTATTATTACTTAAACATTTACTTGGTCACAACAGAAAGTACGGAAAGAAGTAGGTGCGGGGTGGGGGAGAAAAATAATAATTTGTATTTAATTTTTATTTTTAGGTTTGCTTATGGCGACATTAATTGACAAATTCATACAAAATTCCACACTGATCAAACCGTCCCGAAATCTTTTCGATTGGATTTCATTCATTGACACCAAAAGTTGACGTCCATAGCTATGAAAGTGTTGTGGTGTCCTCCCTCTAAGAGTCTATGTTAGACTCTTCCGCCTACTATAAATTTGGTAGGAGAGAAGGTTCGGAAAATAGTGTACAGTGAACTGTGAATAGATTGAGCGCTAGTTCATTCGATACACCCTCACTAGTCGTGTAATACTCTTCTGGTGTACTTACAGGTTTAATATACGATATATCTGCAAACCTAGTTTTTGTTATTACTTGGTCACAACATCTTGAATCTGTTCACTGTTATATTTAACAGTCCCCCCACAAAGAATGTATGTGGCACAAGGCCGAGTTTAACGTGGGTTTCTCCGAACTCGCAGGCTCGGCCAAAAATATTCCCTTTGAACCCGCCTAGACGAGTTCAGGGACTGTCTACATCCCCGGAGGAAACTTTGCCCTGCGGAAAAACTTCGTCCGGGTTCCTCTCCGCCGAGGCAGAGAGTTGGACAGTTGAACAATCTATTCCACTCTTCCCCGAAGCCTTCTGTCCTACTAATTTTATAGTAGGCGGGAGAGTCTACCATATACCCTTTAGGGGAGGACATCACTACAATATATCATAAAACCAAAAGCCTAACTAAATAAGCGCCTTGGCATGGAGTAATGATTAACGAGCCTAGTCTGGTTGACCATTACTATTACCCATTGATACCCATTGGGTTGATTAATTGATTTTGTTTGGCGTCATATCAACCTGTATAGATTACTTATTATCGAAATCTCAGTATTTTGAACACAGCTGTACGCCAACTACAAATAAAATGTATTATTGGTAAATTTTCTATCAGTAGTTAGCGGTAATTTTAATATTAATTGGTATTGTTATTAATTTTACTATATATACGTATTGTTGGTAATTTTAATATAAATTGGTATTGTTGTTAATTTAATTTTAAAATAGTTATTGTTGATAATTTTGATATAAATTGTTATAGTCGGCAATTTTACTATTAATCGGTATTGTAGATAAATTTTCATAGATAAAAAAGAATTATTGGTATTTTTACTTTCATAGTGTGTTTGGGGGTTCCGTATTTGCCTGTGTCTGGGATCCTAACATGGTCAGGGTTGATCTGGGAGCCACAATTAAGAGGTGGTATCACTCTCCTCAAAAAACCCCAATCTTTCGATCAGAGGCCTTTATCTCGGATTATCCTCATTGGATTTGTTATAATTATAGACTATTGCCTAATCTAAGCTAAGCTTAGTAAACATCAACCATTCTAAGATAAACCAATAAATTGGAAACAAATAGAAGATTGTACAGCGCCAGTACATACACAGGGAATCACGTGAGAGATCATGGCCTTTCGTCCGATACAGATCACCGTCGATCAGGAAGGAAACATGTTCACAAAAGTGAATATATTTCCAATATTTGCAGAAAATATCTGTGGGTGAGGGGTGAACGGTATCCAAATCTGACGTCGCTCCCTTCTTTATTGGCAAGCCGTAAGGCGAGGTTGGAGGCCGGGAGGCAAGGGGGGGTCTGGGAGGCGAAATAGGGAAGAGGTACATTAATATTCATCAACTTCCGGTGCTGTAGTTGCATGGCTACCGGCCAGCTCTCTGATTGGTTCACAGGTTGGACCATATCGAGAGAAGAGCCTCCATGTTTGTCGGGTGGAAGCGAGCCGGGGATGCAGGGGGTGGATGGGTTTATGGCTGGTGGCTCGGTTGGCGTTAAAGTTTTTACGTGCTTCAGAGAATGTTGAAGTGGAGTCTGTGTACAGGAGGCGCACTTACGGGCTCGTGTCCCAATCGATCCTCAAGCGATTTTGGGAAGTGGCCCTATTTGTTGGTTGATTTCTTCTTCTTCTTCTTCTTCTTCTTCTTCTTCTTCTTCTTCTTCTTCCTTTCTTTCTTTCTTTTTTTCTTCACTTGATCATCCAAATAGATATAAAAAAGAAATTCATTGCCTGGCTTTTTCCTATAGACATATCTTGCCAATGAGCTCATTACAGGCATTGCATAGATTTTAGTATTATAAAAATGCATTAGACAATGATTTTAGTACTGTAAAAATGCATTAGACAATGATTTTAGTACTATAAAAATGCATCATTAGTCAATGATTTTAGTACTATAAAAATACATCATTAGTCAATGATTTTAGTACTATAAAAATGCATTAGTCAATGATTTTAGTACTATAAAAATGCCTCATTAGTCAATGATTTTAGTACTATAAAAATGCATCATTGGTCAATGATTTTAGTACTATAAAAATGCATTAGACAATGATTTTAGTACTATAAAAATGCATAAGACAATGATTTTAGTACTATAAAATGCATTAGTCAATGATTTTAGTACTATAAAATGCATTAGACAATGATTTTAGTACTATAAAAATGCATTAGACAATGATTTTAGTACTATAAAATGCATTAGTCAATGATTTTAGTACTATAAAAATGCCTCATTAGTCAATGATTTTAGTACTATAAAAATGCATCATTGGTCAATGATTTTAGTACTATAAAAATGCATTAGACAATGATTTTAGTACTATAAAAATGCATTAGACAATGATTTTAGTACTATAAAAATGCATTAGACAATGATTTGAGTACTATAAAATGCATTAGTCAATGATTTTAGTACTATAAAAATGCATCATTAGTCAATGATTTTAGTACTATAAAAATGCATCATTGGTCAATGATTTTAGTACTACAAAAATGCATTAGACAATGATTTTAGTACTATAAAAATGCATTAGACAATGATTTTAGTACTATAAAAATGCATTAGACAATGATTTTAGTACTATAAAATGCATTAGTCAATGATTTTAGTACTATAAAAATGCATTAGACAATGATTTTAGTACTATAAAAATGCATTAGACAATGATTTTAGTACTATAAAATGCATTAGTCAATGATTTTAGTACTATAAAAATGCATCATTAGTCAATGATTTTAGTACTATAAAAATGCATCATTGGTCAATGATTTTAGTACTATAAAAATGCATTAGACAATGATTTTAGTACTATAAAATGCATTAGACAATGATTTTAGTACTATAAAATGCATTAGACAATGATTTTATACTATAAAATGCATTAGGCAATGATTTTAGTACTATAAAATGCATTAGATAATGATTTTAGTACTAAAAAAATGCATTAGACAATGATTTTAGTACTATAAAAATGCATTAGACAATGATTTTAGTACTATAAAAATGCATTAGACAATGATTTTAGTACTATAAAATGCATTAGACAATGATTTTAGTACTATAAAAATGCATTAGACAATGATTTTAGTACTATAAAAATGCATTAGACAATGATTTTAGTACTATAAAATGCATTAGTCAATGATTTTAGTACTATAAAAATGCATCATTAGTCAATGATTTTAGTACTATAAAAATGCATCATTGGTCAATGATTTTAGTACTATAAAAATGCATTAGACAATGATTTTAGTACTATAAAAATGCATTAGACAATGATTTTAGTACTATAAAAATGCATTAGACAATGATTTTAGTACTATAAAATGCATTAGTCAATGATTTTAGTACTATAAAAATGCATTAGACAATGATTTTAGTACTATAAAAATGCATTAGACAATGATTTTAGTACTATAAAATGCATTAGTCAATGATTTTAGTACTATAAAAATGCCTCATTAGTCAATGATTTTAGTACTATAAAAATGCATCATTGGTCAATGATTTTAGTACTATAAAAATGCATTAGACAATGATTTTAGTACTATAAAAATGCATTAGACAATGATTTTAGTACTATAAAAATGCATTAGACAAATGATTTTAGTACTATAAAATGCATTAGTGATTTTAGTACTATAAAATGCATTAGACAATGATTTTAGTACTATAAAAATGCATTAGACAATGATTTTAGTACTATAAAATGCATTAGATTTTAGTACTATAAAATTTAGTCAATGATTTTAGTACTATAAAATGCATTAGACAATGATTTTAGTACTATAAAAATGCATTAGACAATGATTTTAGTACTATAAAAATGCATTAAAATGATTTTAGTACTATAAAATGCATTAGGCAATGATTTTAGTACTATAAAAATGCATTAGATAATGATTTTAGTACTATAAAATGCATTAGACAATGATTTTAGTACTATAAAAATGCATTAGACAATGATTTTAGTACTATAAAAATGCATTAGACAATGATTTTAGTACTATAAAAATGCATTAGACAATGATTTTAGTACTATAAAAATGCATTAGACAATGATTTTAGTACTATAAAAATGCATCATTAGTCAATGATTTTAGTTTTTTTTCCTCCTTTCCTCTTATTCTTTAGTATTTTTTATTATTTCCTTCCTTTTCATTTTCCTATCATTTCTCCTCCTTCCCATTCATTCATCATTCTTTCTCTCTATTCACTTTTCGATCGTTTTTCCTTTCCACTTTTCCTCGTTTCATTCACCGCTTTTATTCATCCTTCCATTCCTCCTTCACTCATTCATTTCTTTGCTCCTTTATTCCTTCAATTAATTTTCCTCTTTTCATTCTCGCCCCCCTATCTTTTCATTCTCCTCCTTTCATTTTCTCTTTCTTCTTTCACTTCATTTTTTTCCTTCCCTCAGTACTTCTTCCTTTTCATTATTTTCGCTTACCATTCCTTTTTTTTCTTTCTCCCTTCCATTACGTTCTTCCTTTCTTTGTTCGCTTATTTCTTCGGCCTTCTTCAATCAGGAAATACCCACACATTGATTGACCTTTCGAAATGCTTTAACGATGTCTTTTATAGTCTATGATTTCAATGTATTTATTTCTTGAAGGTGGGTAATTTGTGAAGGTGCCTCAAGTGTTTCTGTAGTGTTTTCTATAGGCTTAACGAAGGAGAGTTGATAGTTTTACCTTTTTTAATAGAGGAGGGAAGGAAAAACAGTAAAGAATAAACGGAAAGGAATTTTGAGAGACGAAAGGAAGGAACAGTGGATGGAATGAGAAAAGAACAATGAAAGAATGAAGGAAGAAAAAAAAGAAAGGAATTAAAAGAAGAAAGAATTGACTAAAAGAAATGAACGAATAGACAAAGAATGGGGAAGGGACAATGAAAAAATGAAGGAAGTAAAAACGCGGGAAAAAATAAATGAAAAGATATTTTGAGAGACGAATGGAAAGAAGGAAAAGTTGAATGAAAGACGAAAAAAACAATGAATGAACGGATGAATGAAAAAAGTAAAGAAGGAATTTAAAGAAGGAAGAATGGCCTAATGTAATGAGCGAATAGACAATGATGAATGGAGAAAGGAAAAAGAAGAAAGAATGAATTGGAAGAAATTTTGAGAGACGAAAAAAATGGAGGCAGATTGGAAGGAACGAGAAAGGAACAATGAAAGAATGAAGGAATGAAGAAGAAAAAATGAAGGAATTAAAAGAAGGAAGAATGGACTAAAAGAATGAACAAATGGAGAATGGACGTGGGAAGAGACAATGGAATGAACGAGAAAGGAACAGTGAAAGAATGAAGGAATGAAGAAGAAAAAAGGAAGGAATTAAAAGAAGAAAGAATGGACTAAAGGAATGAACAAATGGAGAATGGACGTGGGAAGAGACAAGGAAATGAACGAGAAAGGAACAGTGAAAGAATGAAGAAATAAAGAAGAAAAAATGAAGGAATTAAAAGAAGAAAGAATGGAATAAAGGAATGAACGAATGAACAAAGAACGAGGCAAGAGACAATGGAATGAGAAAGGAGGTTAGGAAAAAAGAGGAAGAATGAATGAAAGGAAATTTTGAGAGACGAAAGGAAGGAAGGAAAAGAGGAATGAATGAGGGAAGTAAAAAAAAAGAATGAAAAAGTGAAAGAAGGAAAGAATGAAGAAGAAAATATAAATAAATGAAGGAAAGTATGAAGGCAAGAGCAAAACAATAGAAAAGCCATGCAATTAATTTGTCTTATTGAAAACATATTTCATTAAGTTCCAAAACAAGGTTTCTTAATATTGCTGATTAGGGAGACTGACTTCAAACATGACCTCATTAGCGCAACTCGTTAAAGTACAACAACCGATATGAAATATCCTTTGTACTTATTGAATTTCCACACCAACAGAATCTAGAGACTAACACGAAATATTACTTAACAAGTTTCAAAATAGTAGCACTATACTTGTTATTCGTATTGATTTGCGCACGAAGGTTTGTCTTTTGGCTTTCACTTGAAATCAAATGATAGCAAATTTGCTTTATACTTCCAGTACCCTCCTCAGTATTCTTCTTCTTCTTCTTCTTCTTCTTCTTCTTATTATTATTATTATTATTATTATTCCTTTTTATTCCTGGTGTGTATACATTTATTTCCAGGTCCCAACCGGAGACCTAAGGTCCAAAATGACATCATGACATTTTACACTGAGCAAACAAACAAAAAAAAACATATTTTACATAGATAAAGCCCTTTGTAAGGTGAGGGCTCTACTCGTGAGTACAATTTTTTGCATTTCTTTACGGCATGGCCTATTATTATTATTATTATTATTATTATTATTATTATTATTATTAATATTATTTCCCTTGCTTTCTGGTGTGTACTCATTTCTTTCCGGGTGCCGCCCAGAGACCTAAGGTCAAAAATGGCAACATGACATTTTTCACAGAGCAATTAAGACACACACACACACACACACACACACACACACACACACACACACACACACACACACACACACTTTACATAGATAAAGCACTTCGTAAGGTGTGGGCTGTACTTGTGAAAAGGATTTTCCACTGAGCAATTAAAAAAGAACAAAACAACAGCAGCACATATTTTAGATGGATAAAGCCCTTCGTAAAGTGTGGACTGTACCCGTGAGAACAATTTTGTGTATATCTTTAAGGCATGGGCTACCAGAAATCCATTCAATCAATCTATTGGAATCTTTTCCAATCAATCCGAGGGCTCAAACGACCACTGAAATGGTTATTATTATTATTATTATTATTTCCTTTGATTTCTGGTGTACATTCATTTCTTTCCGGGTCACGTCGAGTGACCTAAGGTCAGAAGTGGCATCATGACATTTTCCACTGAGCAAAAAAAACCAAAAAAAAAAACAACAACAAAAACAACCAAAAAAAAAAACCCAGATATTTTACATAGATAAATCCCTTCGTAAGGTATCGGCTGTATTCGTGAGAACAAAGTTTGTATTTCTTTATTTCTTTCAATGAGTCTCTTTAAGGCATGGGCTACCAGGAATTCATTATTATTATTATTATTATTATTGTTATTATTATTATTTTCTTTGATTTATATTGTGTACCCATTTCTTTCCGGGACCCGCCAAGAGACCTAAAATTGTATTTCTTTAAGGCATGGGTTACCAGGAATCCCTTCAATGAGTCTATTGGAATCTTTTCCAATCAATCCGGATTATTGATATTCTCATGTGCCACATTTTTGTAATTTCGATTCCAAGGTCCTTGTATTTTGATAGCTTTTTGAAGATCTTCAAAGATACATTGCAGTCTGCAGTGACTGCTATATCAATAAGGAGGCAATATTTGTTTGTGTTTTCTAATAATAATATCTGAGCAATTAGCTTTGATTGTTCTGTCTGTGTGTATTGTGTAGTCCATTATTATTATTATTATTATTATTATTATTTCCGTACAACCAATTATTCTTATTTCATAGGTAAGAGAACAGGGGACATATTATGTTTTCATTGAGCTCAGATTCAGTGTTGCCAGATTATGTGAGGTTAAAAATATATATTAATATAAATAATTAGTAGGATTTGAAATAATCATAATTAAGCAATTCATCGAGTCTAGCAGAAACCTCAACAGAATGCACTGGACGGCCGTTTCGTCTTTTATTTGGGACGCATCAGCAGTGCGCATCCACTACCGAGAATTGAAACCCGAACAATTACGATAGGAGACAAACGCCATACCAACTGTACCAACGGGCCTCGGTGACGAAGAGGCAACGAATTAGACTCGAAATAGCGCCGCTCGATCACATATTCCGTGGTTGAACTTCTCTGGGTTTCTCTTTACCCACAGGATTGTGCCCCAAAAAAGCCACAACTTTGTATCCCTGTTGCTCACTTTAGAGCATTAGATCCTTGTTTCAAGCAATTAATTAATTATATTAATATATTATATTCCATAATATAGTTTTTACTTAATTAGCTATTATGTTTCTCTAACTCTTCAAATGTTGAATGTATAACTAATTATAATTTCTATTTTCCCATCTTTATACTATATTAATTTTATCTTATAAATAAATTCTCTCCTGTTCTGTCACCCATGAAATAAAAATAATTGTTTGTAGGGATCTACATACATCAATTCTTCTTTAAATTAAATGGCAGCAGAAGAATTATCGTTGAACTTTTAAATGGTAAGCTTAAACATTAATTCAATACTTAAATGCAGCGATCAATTTTGAGTTCTTCTGTAGTTTATTGATGCCTGTCGCATCTCCTCCCTCCCTAGCTATTGTGATAATGACCACACCAAGAGTTCTCTGCTAGCCTAAATGCCGCCCAATATGGCGGTTTTTGAGCTAGCTTAAAATTTTAGCTAGATTAAATTTTTAAGCTAGCTGCATTTTGGGATACAAAATAAAAATAAGAGTTACTCCCTTTTGAGCCATGGAAGCAACGATAATGGCTAGTATAATATATTAATATATATATTTTTAACCTCGCTTAATTTGGCAAATCTGAGCTCAACGAAAATCGTTCCCTGCGCCTAAGTTTTCTTGGATTTTTGAAATCGGACCAGTGGGAGCGGAGGAGTTGCTTTGAAACGCACACACACACACACACACACACACACACACACACACACACACACACACACACAGACTGTACTTTATATATCTGGTAACGTTTTAATACCTAAAAAGCCAGGCAAGTCGTGTTTCGTCATAATCAATCAAGCAAGCATTTAATCTGAACGAGCACAGCCTACCTCTGTAGATTAAATAAAGGATTCAGTTGAAATTTTCTGTAGGTTACACCTGATGAAGGCCGAAACGTTTTAATGGCAAATATGAGGACAATACTCCGAATGTTAATAGTTTGGATAATAATATTTTAAATATGATTTAAATATAAATCATATATAGATATATTATTAAATAGTTTGTATTTAATACCCACAAAACCAAAGAAGACATTATCACTGAGCTAACCTTGAATCTCCCTTCACCATAGATTAAATAAAGTGTTTAGTTCAATATTTCTTGAAGGTTATCTGGATCATCATACTATTGATGAAAAGTGGAAGATACAACGGCTGAAACATTGTAATAACAATAAGGATGAAGATAATATTCCGCTTGTAAATACAGTGAGTCCCCCCACCCGTATTTTACGTTTATCTAGACCAGAATCAAATATATTAGGTCAATAATTTTAGTACTATAAAGGGGCCACGAATAGTTAGAATCTGCGAATAATTGTAAACCCCACCGAAAAGTGCTTATAAGTACCTATTTTGATCGTTAAAACCCCATATGCCTTTAACTTTCATACTAAGCCCTTTAGAAACATTTCAGACCCTTTTTAAAACATTTTTGAAAAATAGTATTCGTGACCATACACTTAGTGTAAATTTTCTTTCATACGTAAAATAAACGTTTTTAATTACGCATAGATCGATACAACCATTGAAAATACTGTACAAAATATGTGTAAGAACACATAAAATATAAAGTTTAAAACATTTTCTAAAAACAGAACTGTGATGAGGCCCCAGACTTAACATAAGCCACTTTCAAGACTCCAGCCGCAGCCCTTAACAAAGAACAAAGCCCAAGCACTATTTTTGCGTTTGGTTTTTACAATGAAGATGTACAGTCCCGTCATTTTTTTACCATAAAAATGAACTGTTATATGCTTTAAGGCATTTAAATAAAAGGAAAATAATAGAAGGATATTTTAAATATGTTCTATCGAAAAAAAAAACGAATTGAGGCAATTCTCGGCGAGTAATTTGTACATATGTTCTTCAGAAAAACACGCGAATATTCGGGGTTTCCGCGAATAACAAGTACTTATGTTCTAAAGTAAAATCCGCGTATGTGTGAAGCTGGGAATGCTGAAACGCGAATAAGCAGGGGTTCACTGTCATTACAAATCCTGCATTTCTTTTGCTGGAGAACTTACTGAAACAGGTGTGGTTAGAGACAGCAAGAGAGATTGCTCATGCAATATATTTTAGTTTACGTAAGAGTGTTAAAAAAAATGGCTGCCTGTATTGACATATTTGAAAGTTATGGTTCTTCAAACAAGTTTGTATTTTCAAACTTGTTTATTCAAACAGGAGGAAGATATCACTGAACGTTCAAAGAAAAATGTCTTCTTCTGAATATATTTCTTGTATTGGCTTCAAAGCAAATGTTAAATAGTTTTCCCATGACTTTCAGTTGTTTGAGGTTACTTCGACGTGGTTTAGGGGTTAGTAAGCTTGTCTTGCTAGGTCGATTACGACTGAGTAGTGAGTTCGATCCTCACTGGTGCCCTGTATTTTCGGTCTTGTGCCACATCTCATTTACGCTTAAATCTGGGCAACTCGATATTATTAATTCTTAAAGTACATTTGTCTTTCATTTTCATTCGTTTTTCTTCATTCCATTAACCTGGGATATAACAGCTTGTAACATTCAATACTCGCGAAGCCAAGCAAGACCTGTTTCATAATCACTGAGCTGACTCTGAATCTCCCCTCATCGTAGATTAAATAAAGTGTTTAGTTCTAAATTTCCTGAAGGTTATCTGGATCGACATGCACCTGATGAAGAGTGGAAGAAAAACAGCTGAAACGTTGTAATAACGACTAGGATGAAGACAATAGTCTGCTTGTAAAGAATTGTAAATCCTGCATTTCTTTTTTAGTTGGAGAAATTACTGAAACAGGTGC